AAAATCTTGATGAACTGATTGTTATTAATCAGCATGTAAACAAAAATTTTCGAAATTTATAGAATTTATCACAGTCATTCAGATCATTTACCAGTCATGTAGAATTACAATTGTTTACACTTTTTAGCCACACGCTTGCGTATCCGCCTACAGCTTTGTAATAAACAACCCAAACGACTATTCAAGAGTACATGTGAACCTACGTTGCCAGGATTTTTAATACCGTGGGTGGATCCTGTGAGAAATGAGTACAATCAGGTAGGTATCTCAAAATTGTTTGAATTCAACCAATCAAATCTGCTCGTGTACTTTTTTTGCCGAAAGAAAAAGAGAATAAAAGCTATCTGATTTCTTTGTTTGCGAAACACACAATAAATCGGCGCAGGAATAACCACACTTTCTATTTTTGTATTTAAAAAGTTCTTATGACTTAGAACTGAAATTATTTGCGCTGACCACTAAACGATCATGTAATAAACTGTGCTATCATACTTTAAGATAGCTTATATGGTTTGCTAGCGGATTCTTAAACAGAGCATTGGCAACTTATTTGGCCGAAATGGACAGAATCTTGCAAAACTTCCTTTTATGACCAGAACTTTTAATTCTAATTTGAAAATAACTTTTGACTTCTTTGTTTCAGCTCGTTTTCACTGCTTTCGTACCTCCTGATACTGACGACAACAACCAATAATTATATCGATCTCCTACAACAACAACAACAACAACATCATATGATCTTGATTCTTTATTACTCTTGCTTTGAGTTGATGATCATTTGTACTATTACCTTATTTTTTCGATCATTCAACAAATAAACAATTATTAGTTGACAATATAACACTTGCATTAAAGAAATGTGTGTTGTCAGAAAAAGAATTACATATACAAAAACCTGTAGTAGTGGAAAAATCAAAAGAATCGCGATCAGTCAAGGCGATTGTAGGAAAAAAGACCGTTATCTCAGATGTACAATAAATGTACATGTGATGGAACTGAACAGAGATAGGCCAAAAAATCTACAATCTCAGTGGATGTTGTTCAAA